CTAATAGGGATGCCTGCACTTGATGACCAATTTCACATGTATTTTGTGTACTTTAAAAATACAAAATACTGTATTTGTATTTAAATACATTTTTTTACACAGTATTTTGTATTTGTATTTAAATACATTTTTTACACAGTATTTTGTATTTGTATTTAAATACATTTTTCCACTCAGTATTTTGTATTTTTATTTTAAATATATTTCTATGTATTTATGCCCATCTCTGATTATAATATGGGAGATAATACGGGAAAGAGGGGTAAAATACGGTAGTTTCCCGGCCAAAACGGGAGACTCGACAGCTATGGTAATCTAAAGCTGATGTTGACTTTTTGGCATGTGGCTGAAACTATGTTAGTTATGTCAGTGGCATTTTAGGAATTATTTTTCATGATTGAATACATCATTATGTATCAGCTCATAGCTGTTATTTGGTGATCATTCAGTGCTATGGTGACTCTATGCTGGGTTCCACCAGTAGGGTTTTGGGTTTAAATCCCTGATCTATGGATGGATGGAATTATGTTCTTGGCAATTATGAAGGTTTGTTTTTGTAATATGCATTTACTCTTGTGTATATCCTCCGATCATAAATAAATAAACAAACAAGCAAGCAAACAAATGGAAGTCGCCACCCAGTCAGACTTAGAAGGCAATGGTGGTCTTTTGCTCCCTTTACCTGTTTGTCTTTCTATGTGGATGAGGACATTGTGACTGAAATGACTGAACTTTGTAGATGGTCTGCTTTTGAAGACATTCTTCAGGGAAAAGGTCTGCAGGGCCAGCATAGGCCCAGCACAGGACGAGGCAGAGCCTGGCCTCATGTGCATATAGCATGCTGCTACTGTGAACCAGGAGGACATGGTTTCCGATATAAAGTTGAAGTGAGCCGATAGCTGTGCACCTCTTCCTGTGACCGGCGTCGCCTATCGATTGTACTGCTTCTTGTTATGAAATGATAAAGCTATTATTTTTCAAATTTGACCGGGATTGCGACACAGTCGCATTGCTGGCCATATGCTCTGAGGACCAAAAAGCAGAACAAAAATTCAAGAGACCTGTTCGATGTCCGAGTTGGTCGAGTTAAGAGGCCTTTGAGTTCCAAGGTTCTACTGTATCTAAAAACTCAAAGAAGGTTTCCTGTTAATTAGTTCCTATTCCCTGTTAATGCTAAAACATAAAGCACATCATTTATTGGCTTAATTTTTTTAAATCCTAGGGAGTCCCAACAATATGTGTCACGCCCACTCGGGTGAGATGGGACGGCAGCAACCAATGTCTTCGTAATCGCTCCGCTACTTAAGGCGGAAGTAACCTCGCTAGTATTGTGAAGTATTGTTGCTATGGTCTGGAACATTGCTGAGCGTTTTTCTGTCTTGTGTCTTCCACACCTGCCCTGCCTACCGTGTCCTGTCTGGCATTTCGGGGTCCGTCCCCTCCCTGATCTCCGCTCATATACCCTGCTCCTTGCAGTCACATTGTTAATCACTAACTTGATAAGGCCTGCAAAGTTATAAGACATATGTGACTAGACAAGAAACACACTGTTTGCCAATCAAGCCTTTTAACACTGAGGTCATTCCTTATGCCCTGCTGTGCAAAAACAAGAGGCTATTGTTTGTCAGTTGTGATCTGCATGACAAATGTGAAAAAAGGACGTCTTTCTGGGCTTGAATTCAGTGAAGCAACGGTCTAGGTACTTGGAAACAGCTGTGAAAATGCAATAACAAAATTAGCAAGGTTAATCTCAGTTTTGCAACACCGAACACAGACAGCATCATTAGGATCACACCCTGCAGATAATTCTTTATCTAAGAGTCTCATGTTGCAAAAGGACGGACTGATAAGCAGACCACAAGAAATTAGATTTTAAATAGTTTCAAGCCCTCATGTACAGCAGAATATAAAGTGCTCTCTGCCTGGAGAAGATCAGGTAAGGATATGCTTTCATATTTTATAGTTGGCCTCTCCAAGCACACCGTCAGTGTGTGACAAATGGAAATAACCAAAGGATGGAAGGGGCCAAAACAGGAACTGGGGAGTACTGTAATTTTCTGCTTTTTTCGAACAATTATATAGCAAAGATCTGGGACAATTGTTGAACAGGGTGATTTGTTGAACTGACTTCTAACAGACTTAATCCTAATCATAACTTTGGTACCTCCAAACACGACCGATGTTTCTTTGAAAGGGAAAGACTGTTGTTTTGTCCCCAGTCTCCCCTATTAATGTCGGACCTCACAGCACCTCCACAGTCTTAAAAACAATCACAATATTGACTGTACAATAGTGTCAATGGTACAGTTACTGGGCTGTGTTCCTGGATTGAAAAGCAACTCACTAGAAAGAGATCTGCTGTTTGAAACACAGCCTTTGCATCTGCCGTAATCAACTGCCAGTCCCTAGTTATTTGGCACATGAAGCATATTAACCAAAGAGAACTAGTGAGCTATGAATTAGAAACATGAATACAGAAATTCATCTATCATAAAATAAATAAAACCAATCAAAAGGTGAAAAATAAAAATGGACATTAGGTACAAATAGGCATATAAACAAAATATTTGAATTTGGCTCTTATAATACGGTTTTTAGTGCACTCTCAGGAAAAAAAATGGTAAAATTTGTACCTTTGCTTGTCACTGGAGCTGTACCCTTGTAATTGTACCTTTTAAGGTACAGAAATGGACTCTGGGGAACATCCCAAAGGTACAAACAGCATTAATTTACCGTCAATGGTACAGAAATGTTCCTGAGTCCTTAAAGGTACTGGGTGGGGCACAATCTGTACTCCTCCTTTACAGAGAAAAACTCTGCAGCTACGGAGAAAAACTGCCCTCTGGTGTTGAAGTTAGGATAGGATATAAAGCTAGCGTTATCGCTAAAGTTTCACTTTCGTCATGAGAAACTTTTTCGCAGTACTAAGATTTGCGTACTGCAGTACAGTTCTTCAACAGGTTGTTGTTGCGTTAAACATAATTATTTAATTTAATGCATCTATTATTACAGGTGAACTGCGTAGATTTAGCACTGAAAAACTTCGCGATTGGCCGATCTGAGGCAGCCTGTTTGCTTAAGGATGTTCTACCGAAAAAAGTACCTGAACGCTTCGCTTTGTTTGCTGATTGGACTCGCAGGTAAGATGTTAGTCTTGATTTGTGAGTCTTCGCACTTGCAGGAGTCTGTGTCGTATTCTAGCCCTTTCATGCATGAATTATGATAACCGGAGTCAGTATTTTTTTCCTAGGTGGTTTTATTTCTCTGAAGGGATGAAAAAAACAGCTGTAAACTTTTTTGTTTCTCAACATGCATTTTTTCAAGAAGTTGAAAAAATTGTCTATTAATAATTTACAAAGTATTACAACCTAATTAATAACCAGATGATAAACCATTCATAAACTCTTTATATTGGTAGCCTTATTATAAAGTGGTACCGACAATTCTACACACGCACGCTTTTACATGCACGGTTTAATTGTTACCTTGTAAATAGTGTGTAGGGTTTTCATTTTTCCAAACTTCCCGAATACTTTTGATGCAGCTAATTTTACGTTTACATAGGAATACTACAGATTTGCTGTAAGATTTCTTGCGTGAGCGAGTCTGAAACCGGGCAAGATATATTGTTGTGCGCACTTTTAAATATCCTATCCACCTTAATTCAGAAGATAGAACTTGACTATTTTCTGTGGGTAAATTAGTAATGAAACAAACATAAAACGCATCAACTTTAAAATGAATAAGAGAACTTTACAAATAATGTACCTCTATGGTAAATTCAGTTTAATGGTAAAGTCTGGTCGATTTTTCTGTTTTTCAAGATAAAACGGCACCGTATAATTGCGCAGATCTCGAAGTCGCTTCAGGCCGGTATACAGTTCGTATGACAAACTAAATGGTGATATTTAATTATATGGCGTTAGTTTGTACCAGGGCCTCAACTAGGGCGACCTCTGCATACTAAAGACCGGTATTTTACGACATCGGTCAGTTTAAAAAATGAAATTCTGTGTCCCATTTCCAAGTAGTACCGAACTCCACGTTATAGTTGCATCACTGCATATGAGCCATCGCCGGAGTGCTCGACTTGTATTTTCTGCGCATGTTGCACTATCACTGAGCAGGGTTCGGAAAAATGAAGCTCAGGGCAGCAGCTCTGTGTCTATGGCAAGCTTCCTCGGAGAAATTACGTCACTTTTGCCATTCATGTCTATTGGGTTTTTAATTTCAGATATCCACAATTATATTTCAGATATCCAGAATGTTCAGTTTAGAGTTCAGCTCGGATGTTGCGGAAACACATAAAATGATAAAGAGCTGTTGTGCAACTGATTGTACAAATCGATTTAACAAGAAATTGGAGCTATTTTCCACAAACTGCCGAAAACTAAAAAAAGAGAAAAACAACTTGAATCCAGGCTCCAATACGTGGATTTGCGGTTGCTATTTCTGACTAAAAAAAGTTGCAACAAAATAAAAATATTTATAGAGACCTGTCCACACACTACGGAGCACCTAAGGGGACAAAGGAGGAGGAAAAAAAATGCCAGAAGAAGAAAAAAAAAGAAGTCATGTTTTGCGTTATAACCCAAAACTTTTGCATTATAACCCAAAACCATTGCGATATAACCCAAAACCTTTGCGTTATAACCCAAAACCTTTGCATTATAACCCAAAACCATTGCGATATAACCCAAAACCTTTGCGTTATAACCCAAAACTTTTGCGACATAAGGCAAAACTGTTGTGACTTTGAAGTGGAAATATGAGTAATCAGTCAGTGTAAGGAACATAATTGATAGGAAAACATGGAGCGTTTAATCGAATTTTACTTTGATCTTGGTCTACAATATATGGACCTTCAGTTTGTTCTCGGATCTAGGCATGATGTTCACATAAGTCTGATGCAGATTAATAGGATTTTATGTGAAAGGGGATTATTCCAACGGAAAAACTACTCCGACTTGGGTGAAGTAATTAACTTTATTTGTGAGCAGCTTTTGCACTCTGGGCAGCTTCATGGTTATCGATGGATGTATGTAAAATGCGGAATAAATGGACTTCATGTGAGAAAAGAGGGTGTGCATTTGATTTATATTAATTTATTATAAACATGAAACAACAACAAAAAACGAACAGTTCTTTAGGCTTAAATCAACCTCAACAGATTAGCATTAATTAACAATGTTACTGAAACGTACTTTACCAAGGCTTGCTTTACAAATTACTAATTATGAATTAAACAATCAAATCTTACCACACTGAACTCTAAAAAAAATGTTTAACCGTTAAATTAGATTAATAAGCGAAGCGGGGATCAACCACATTATGCAAACAGCGGCTTTGGAAGTTGCACTTCAATGACCAAAAGTACACAAGTCACCTGATTTTGTTGTTGCATTACTACGGAAAAGTTTTGGGTCATATCGCAAAAGTTTTGGGTTATAACGCAAAACAGAACTATTTTATAACTATATAGGGGCAGCGTGTGGTTCAGCAGGCTAAGCTGTGTGTTTGTAATCATAAGATCGCCAGTTCAAACCCAGCCTCAGCACGTCTGCAGGTCCTTGAGCAAGACCTTCAACCCCCAGCTCCCTGGGCACCGCTACAGGTGGTTGCCCTTCGCAGGCAGCTTACTCTACAACGAGCAAGTTGAGGGAGGTGTAAAAAGAATTTCCCCACAGGGATTAATCAAAGTGTCAATTATTAACTGTAACTGTAACAGCTTTGTGTGCCAGTTGGGGCAGCTTCAAATCTCTTCCTGCAGGTGGTTTCTCCCCCCCCTTACTCCACAGTCTACCTCTCCAAGGTCTGATCTCTCTTCAGGGTCTGCGGAACTAACCAAAGGCAGCTTTCATGAGACAAGGACAGACAGTATTCAAAACATTCTCTTCTTGTCTAAGGCCTAAAACATAACAGACCCAATATGCGTCCCCGCCAGGGCCTAACAATGTCCAATTTTCCTTCCATATCTGTTGTTTACAGTTGTTGTCCAGTAGGCCATCTGTGGGAGGCATATTGGGTGTGTAATTGTCGTGACCAAGCGCGGTGCACGAAACAGGGAAGCAGGAGAAGAACGCGACGGATCGGGGAAAACGGGATTTAATGGGAAATAGTAGCTGGGACATGGGATAGGCAAAACAGGCAGCACTACACAATGAACCTTACATGACAGACCTAGGGAAACATACTTGAACGCGGACTGAAATACACAGGTCTCAATGGAAAAAAACAGGAATCAGCTGGTAAAAATTGGGATTTCATACGAGGTTAATGAGGGAGCAAGACACACAGGAGGATCGGACGAGCGGGGCATGACAAGAATACTGTGTGTCCTTGTGTGTTAAAATGATGTGAGAGGGATATAGGATTCTCGAAGGAACAAACAGGCACGCTTAGGTTCATTTAAAAACACTCTAATAAAGTAATACAAACAAAATAACCTTGCATTAAAATCAATACCAAGATATTGTATCAAAAGCAATGCAAAAACAACCTCATATTACAAGTGATATCAAATAGTATTATATATTATAGCCAATAATAATACGTGCAAAGATACGAATGATTATTTATATAGAAAAGCAGTAAAACATAGAAAATGCGAATTATTATCACAAGAGGTGATAATTAATCCCAATAACCAACGAGGTGGAAATTCAGGACACTGGGTTCATTACAGGAAAAAGAACAAAGCAAGCACAATATGGTGACAACATCAATGACTGGACTGGGGAAACAGACTTGACTTAAGGACACAGGACAAATCGAAATAACAGGAAACAGCTAGTCACAATCAGGATTGCACATGTGGTTAATGAGGGGGTGTGGCACACAAGAGGATCGTACGAGCAGGTCATGACAGAACCCCCCCCCCTCCAAAGGCATGCACTCCACACCCCAGGGGAACAAAGAGACAGGACCGGGGATAAGAAACCTGAAAAACAAAACAAGACCATTAACGGGGTACTGGAAACAGGACAGACACACAGAACAGGCACAGGGACAAGAAACAGGATAACCACTGACAGACCACAGGGAATGTGGACAGGCAGAGGGGCACCAGAAAAGGAGACACACGGGAAACACCAACAGGAGGAAGAAAAGGGCCAGAAGTGATCATAGGAGACACAGAAGGATGAGGAGCAGACATAGGAGGGCGGAAGGGAAAGGACGGGGGACAACGGGGAGCCTGAGGAAACCCCAGCGGGCGAAAGGCGACAGGGGCAGCAGGCGACCACAAGGCAGGAGCAGGAGGGGACCTCGGAGGGGGCGAGGAGGAGGAGGAAGTCGGAGGGACAGGTGGAGGAGGAAGTCGGAGGTGGCACCAAAAGAGGCGAGGAGGAAGTCAGAGGGGACCCCGGCAAAGGCAAGGAGGGAGGGGAAGCTGCAGAAGGCGACGGCGCAGCCACAGCAGGTGAAGGCACCGTCCACCGACGAGCTGGAGTGGGGGAACCCGCAGGCAACCGACGAGTCGAAGCTGGAGAACCCGCAGGCGACTGATGAGGCGTCGGAGATGAGGCTGAAGGCGGCTGATGAGTCATCGAAGGGGGACGCGTAGGCGACCGCTGAGCAAAAGCTGGAGGACCCGCAGGTGCCCCTGGAGCCACAGCCAAGGAGACCGAGGGCGAGCCAGGGTGCAGGGCGGGTGGAACTCAACCCCTGCGTAGGTGTCCTCTCCCCTTCTGGGACACTGACAGGTGGGGACCTGGTCGGGATCAACCATGCTGAGGTGATGGTCGGGGTGACACACCGGAGGAGTCCATCAGGGAAATCCCGTGCATAGGAGCAGGGTTAGGAACTGGAAGGTTTGGAGCCGGGGGGACTGGATCTGGAGTCTCTGTGGGCAGAGCAGGAGCTGCTGTGGGCGTAGCAGGGACATCAGACGCGGGCGGAGCTGGGGCCGGGATATCAGGCGCGGGCGGAGCCAGGGCTTCTGTGGGCAGTGTGTCAGCCGCCGGGACTAGCAAGTCAGAAACAGTAGGCACAGGTAGGTCAGGCATATCAGGCAGGTCAGGAACACCAGGCAGGTCAGGGACATCAGGTACGGGCAGGTCAAGTACAATGGGGGGCGGAGCATCAGGCGGCGTCGCAGCAGGGACCGCTGACACAGGGACCTCAGGCAGCGCTGCATCACCCGCCAGCACAGGAACCACAGGGGGCACTGCATCAACCGCCGGCACGACTGGGGTTTGCATCTTGACAGCAGGCGTTGCCCCTTTAAGGACCTTAGGGATCCGTGGGATGGCATCCCACACTGACCTGGCCCCTTTAAGAGCCAGGCGTGCTTACTGCGGGGAGCGGCGCGTCAGCCGCCAGCTCGATTGAGGGAGCCTGTTCCGTTCGCAACTGGAGCACACTCATGTGTTTGTCTCCTGCCAGGACTGAAACGGACTCCCCAGTTGTCATGACCTGCTTGTACGATCCTCTTGTGTGCCACGCCCCCTCATTAACCTTATGTGGAATCCCGATTGTGACCAGCTGTTTCCCATGTCCTGTGTACTTAAGTCTGCGTTCAAGTCAGTTTCCCCAGTCCAGTCATTTGGCCCCATTCACCAATATTTTCTTAAGAATTCTCTTAAATTTGTTCCGACGAAATTTAAGAACAACCTACGTGTTCATAAGTAGCAGAATCGTTCGTACCTTTGTTCTTAAGAATGGTGAATCCCACGTCTTCGTAGCTGAAAGCTTGTCCAGTTTGTCCTAATTAGCATAGGGAAACGCTCTGCAATTTCCCATAAAAGGACATGAGACTGTAAGGCTGTGTGCAAGGAATGACGTTGGGGTGTGGCATGAGTAAATGGTGTCCTGTAGTTGTGTTCTGGGCATACAGCAACTCTGGATATAACGGACTGTTTTGCCAGGTCCCTTGAAGTCCGTTATAACTGGATTGTACTGTACAGGAGGTAAATGCAAATAGACACATGGTATTTAGTAGCGTAACCAGTGTATATAAAACCCCCAAGAAAGCTGATACATGGAAAGATATCACCTTCTCTGTGAACGCTGTGTGCCAAATAAATTCTCAGAGAACGATTGGCAAGCTGTTCAAGAAGTAATAGAAATGCCATTTTGATAGCAAGGCCAATGCGCAGAAACAGACCTATTTATAATCCACATGATCGGCGTTACTACCATGAAAATAATTTTTGCACTTTAAAATTATTTTTCATATTTTACTTTTATAAATTATTCAAATACTATCATTTTATGAACTGTAGAATGAACAAAACTGCTATAACCGATTATTTTGAACAAACTATCATTAGTCAAATGTGCGTACGAATGGTTTTGAGTGTGCGTAGATTCTGTTCTTAGCTAAGAACAAATTCAGATAAGAAAACATTGGTGAATGTCAGAATCTTCGTAAAAAAGTGTGTACGTGGGGTTTAAGAACTAATTTTTTCATAAGAATGGTTGGTGAATGAGGCCCAATAAGATTGGTCAATGCCTCCCCACCCTCCTGAAAATGAGATAAGCATCCATTATGCTGACCCTCCCCTCCTCCTTAAGACGAGATAAGCGTCCCACATACCGATCTTAGGTACAACATATTGGGCCAGCTGTTCTACTCTTCAGGAAAAACCCCTTAGAAAAGTAAAGTAAGTGTCCTTGAACAGAGTGTAAATCAGAAATAACAAGATAAACATCTTGGTTATCCTGGTCCCTTTTATAAAAAAAAAAACAAGTTATACAAATAATCAGTAAAAAACATGTTTATTCAGTTCAACCTTAGCACAATAATATTATGGATGAATCATAGATGACGTATCTGAATTTCAGGATGATTAGTCCATATACAATTAGAGTCAATCCACACCTCAATCACCTCATCTGTATGTCTGCTAGGTGGAACTGAACAATCACAACTGCTCAGAATATTACGGTACCAGGACAGTGAACAACTCATTAATTCTATGCTATGTGGGCGATGTAATCGTCCGGGAGGTCATCCGAATGCACCTTGTCTCACGGTAGCCTGTGAGGAGAAGCCACTTGCAGGAAGGGATTCAAAGCTGCCCCAACTGGTGCACACAGAGCTGTAGTTATAAAGTCATACGCAATATGTTATGCGGTAGTTATCACATTAATCATACTTTAACCATGTATTCACAGTAAATCAATATCTATATCCATATCTCAAGTAGAAGTCTAGCGGTTGAGACATGTTTTGGGAAACTGAGCAAAATGGGTGGATTTACCCTGCTACCAAGACAGACCAATAGAGGTGGAGAATTATGTTTGTTATACATTTGATCTTGGTTTGTTGGTATTTTGTGACCAGTTAGGACTTAGAAGTCATTAAAAGGAATTGGGTTTTATGGTTTATCAGCTGGTTGCTCTTTGTGCTCAGGGTACCTGGTGCCTGAGTGTGACTGGAGCGCTTCACTGGATTGCCTGAATAATGAGATAACTTTGCTCACCAGCCGAGAGGTCCGGAGTTTTATTCTACGTGGCTTAACTAGAGTTAATAGAGAGACCGATTCATATATTTTCTTCAACACTATGCCAGATAGTTTCAATCAAAATGTTTAGTGTATTAAAGCATTAGCCCAAATCACGACCTGAGACAATGAGACCTTTTACTCGCCCTTTGGTCACCCCCCCCCCACCCCACCTGAGAAAATGAGACCTTTTACTCGCCCTTTGGTCAAGCCCCCCCCCCCCGCCCGCCTGCCCCCCCACTTCAAAAATCTTTTCTGCGACCCTGTAAATGTTTAAAAATGTTTTTATCTAGTTTTGTCTTTTTTGATCTTAAAATTGTCACAGTAATGAGAAAACTGTTATGATTTTTGGGGAAAATGGATAGGAAAAAAAAAATCATTAAATTATTAAAATGCCAAAAAAGTCAGTTGCTCTACACTGAAAACACAGCATTTCACTGTAACTTTTTTCTTCTTGAAAAATTCTTAAGTTTGTGAGAATGGTTTTTGCAGATCACAGGGAGGTAGACTCATATCAGACCATTTCATTAACTGTTAAGGCTGATTGATACTTTTGCGTAGAATGTACAGGTATGCTGTAGTCGCGTACCCTACGCTGTATTCGCGTACCCTACGCTGTATTCGCGTACCCTACGCTGTATTCGCGTACCCTACGCTGTATTCGCGTACCCTACGCTGTATTCGCGTACCCTACGCTGTATTCGCGTACCCTACGCTGTATTCGCGTACCCTACGCTGTATTCGCGTACCTTACGCTGTACCCTACACTGTAGCCTACACTGTAGCCTGACACGCACCGCCCCGGATAGGTAACTACTGCTGTCAGGCTACTAATGGGTAAAATTCTACACAGAAACTGTAAATCAGTCTTTTCTTTGTTTCTTCAGGAGCCTTCAAGGTTAATACCAGCATCCATGCACTGGGAGTATATGGATTGCCTGCAGTTTTTGGATGTACATATTCTCCTACGACTGGTACAGCGCTGAACGATCTGATTATCAATTGGCAGAGGGTTAGAGACTCTGCAGTGGTACACAGCTTCTACAGTGGAAGAGACCAGCTGAGTCTACAGAGCCCTGACTACCAAGGTCGTACAAGTTTGTTCCACAGTGAGCTGCTGTCTGGAAATGCTTCCTTGAGGCTGGATAGGGTCAGCTTGAGCGATGAAGGCCACTACTTTTGCTCTGTTAGTAGCAATCAAGGGAGCAACAGGGCAGAGGTCAAGTTGAATTTTACAGGTGACTCGATCTGCCCCCATCTCAAGGGTCCATAATGGAAGAGCACATTTTCAAAACTCACTCAGTCCACATGATACATTTTCAAGTAAATTTCTTCGGTTTTGGAAACCTAACAAAAGTTCTTCCTTGGTTTACACGAGGACTGAATGTGTTTTGGTTCCTGATACTGTAACATACAATGAGGAAGCTTGATATGAGGTCATTGGCGGTGTCATTTCAAACACAGATTGGACTGAGTGTGGTTTGGAAATTTGCTCTTCAGTTGGTTCTGTTTGTGATCATTCACTGCTGCCTGGAGCAGGCTCCATTATTCCCACACATAAGAAAAATGAATGGATGGATGGATGAATGTTACATTCATATAGTGCTCTCCATGACACCCAAAGCACTTTACAGAACTAATGGGAAGCCACTTCAGCCACCACGCCTGTGTAGCCCCCACCTGGATGATGCGACAGCAGCCATTCTGCACCAGTACGCTCACCACACAGTAGCTAAGGTGGTGAAGAGTGGGAGAAGATTCACCAGTTTAATATAGGGCATGATTAGGAGGCCAGATTTGATAGGGCCACAGTGGACAATTTTAGCCAGGACATTGGGGTATCACCCCTACTCTTTCAAAAGATGCCCATGGACCTTTTATGACCTCAGAGAGACATGGAGTTCGGTTTTACATCCCATCCCAAATATTTTTACAGCACAGTGCACTGCGTCACTGCACTGCGGCACTGCACTGCGGCACTGGGATCCACACAGACCACAGGGTGGGCTGACCTGTTGGCCACACCAACACATCTTCCAAAAAATGATTCTTTTCTTTTGAATCTTGTATTTGTGTACTGTTCACCCGACACTTGGTTGAAATTGTAATCATTTAAATTACAGACAAGTGGGAATGAGAGATTAGTTTCAGCTTTGCCACACGTGCTTTAGTCCAGGACAGGTGTAACAGTGCCCAGTGCCAGACCTTTGCGACTGAACTTAAACTCAGAGGTGGCTGATCCATGGAGGTAGACAAGGCAGTGTCTCCTCTGTTTTTGAGATTAAATCATTAAACAAATAACTCATTACTGTAATTTTATTGTCATTTATAAGCACATTTTCTCTCTTTGGAAAAAAAATCACTATGGTAATATTGTAAAATGCGTTATCTTCTCATCTCTTCATTTTTTAAAAATTATTATTATTATTACTGCACAATCACACATAGACACAAAGACAAGAACAATACGCTATAAGTATAAAAATGTAAAACAAATTGGAGCACTGTTAAACATTCTAATAAAATAAAATAAAAAAGTCTAAAGTACCTTTGTCCAAAAGTTACAGGAAAGAGTATAAGAGCAGAGTATATTGCACAGTAAGTAAAAGTATATTGCACCAATTTTGGAATTTTTGGAAAACAGAAGAAATTCATATTAATGTTTGTTGTGTTTCTGAAGACATCCAGTGTCCAGCACTAAAGTAAACCGAAAGTATTCAATCAACTTTCATCCCTTCAAACCTCCTTCATTATTCTAAATGCTTCATAACTCCTATATTTTAAATGCTATAGCAACTGTATTTGCTAAATGTTATTAGGTTGTCATACCTAACATAAATGCACCATTTTTATCATCTTTTTTTTGGTGGTCTAATGGTCAATAATGGTGTTCTGATGGTGGCCTGTAGTCAAAGTTCACCGTTGGTTGTCTAATGGTCTGTTATGCTAATGTCCAGTCACTTTCATGCTAGCAACACTGCTGTATCATGTTAACATTTATGCCAATGCTAATACGAGCATTTGTGCTAATGTTACCGCTAAAGCTAATGTTAACAGTTGTGTTATGCTAACCTCCCTACTATCATCTATTTCACCCTTTTATTCACCCTTTTATTTTCACCCTTATATCCATTCTTCCATATAAATTTGTTGATTTTTATTGCTCTCATTGTTTTAAAGCCACAACAATCACACTTTGTATATAGACCCAGAAGCTGGTGAAAATCACTAAACACCACTGAAGTGAAGCACAACTATTTACATCCCTTCATTCTTTCTTTCTTAGTGTCTTTCTACTTTTATGCACACATCAATCATTAATTTTCTTCAAGAAATGCCCTTTCTAGTGTTAATATACATTTAATATTCAGATTGTTTACCTGCCTAAGGCTTTTGCACAGTACTCTGTATATTCTTAGGTGGGGGGCCGCTTTAATGCATGGGCTTACCTGGGCTGAAACCCAGGTCCTCCTTCTCCTTAGCAACTTATACTGCTGACAGCTCCCCATAACTTGGTGGATAACCCAGGAGCCTCTGACCATCTCAATGGACCCCTCAATGGCAAAGAAAAGCTTTGATGAAAGATGACCATTGAGCAGAACCCTAACAGCCTCCAATGACCAGTGGTTAGAAGATGCATAGATGGATGAATGGATTAACGACTAATTCGTTAATGTTTAACTCTTGATGTTGTGTCCCTTTCAGCTTTGTACACAGAGCCAAAGCTCTCTATCCAGATTCTCGGCAGGAAAGTTAACTTCTCATACGAAAGTAGGGGGTACCCTCAGCCTGAAGTGCTGTGGACCGATGCGAAGGGCCGTAAAATCCCCAATACTGAAGTGTCCTTCTCCCGAGTGGAGCACGGTTTGTTCAGCATGCATGCCTGTCTGACGGTGGATTGCTGTCATGAGCTGAACTACACCTTCACCTTGAAGAACCAGCCCCTGGGTCAAGTCATACAGAGGAATGTGGCCTTCAGAAATGGTAAAATACCTCCATTTTCCTCAGTTAAAGCCATAACAAGCGCTCAGGGACAGAAAGCAGAATCAGTATATTCCAGCATACTCTGAATGGACAAGTGTCTGTATGTAGTGATGAAATTTGGAAACAAAGAATGGTTTGTTTGTATTTTAAATGAATTATTTATAAGCATTTTTTTCTCCTCAGAATAAAATGTCATTTAATATTAGAAATCAAAACTGTCAAGTTTAATAATAGAGCACATCATTGAAGGTACTTAACTACATATTTTATCAAGATTGCAGTTTGACCAACATCTGGTCTCTTAAACTCAGTTTTAACTCATGAGAAAATATCTTAGTTTATCTATGCTCAGTTGTGAATAATTAAGTACACAATCAGTAATAGAGATGCACCGATCGAATGACCAGGGAAGAAAAGTTGATTTTTGTTTGTATATGGTGCCAGTTATAGTTCTTAGAAAGAAAATTGAAATTGGCAGAAATCGGTATCGGCCAAGAACACTGTAATTGGTGAATCTCTAATCATTAACCTACCTACTACACATACGGAGGGACAGTCAAAAAACTCTGAAGCCCTTTTTCTCAGTGTCAGTGCAGTTACCGTGTTTTGCCTTTATAGAGAAGTGCAGCTTTTATAGTTTTTTTCTGTTAAATATAACATTTGGTGCATGTTTTGTTTTTTAGGTGCTGCTGAATACCTTAAAGACTGCCCTTACCAGTACTGGATTCGTATAGCTTTTGCTATCGTTCATGGAGTCATAGCTCCATGTTATGCCCTGTAGTGCTGCCCTCCTGTTCCTTCCCTGGAGTGCCTCATCTCCCAGACCCTGGGGCTCCTTTACTTTATCTCTCATTCCTGCCCTCTTGTCAAACACTCCCAGCTGCCTCCTGTTTGCTCCCTCATTAGTCTAATTGTCTAAAACATTAGTACTTGTTTTACCCTGTACATATAATAAACAACCCATCCTGTCTGCTTCCACATTCTTCATCCCTCTCCACATGATATAGGGCTTAATTTAAATAATATCAGTATGGATTAAGCTCTATTGATTACTTAACATTTTTATCCAAATTTTTTAGGCAACTTTCAAATATATCTAATGAAGGGCTGATAAAGATTCATGAAGTTCTCCATGGAATACTTGAACGTGTTTTCAATCTTTAATAATTTCACCTAGAGGGATTCGGTAGCGCTTTGAACAATCTGAGGATGAAGTCTATACAGTATGTGTTTCCATTGAATAAAAGTGCCTGGTATGACAGTAGGGTCTTATTGGGTTGTGCTAAATATAATATGAAGATAATAATATATATTTATTTTGGTTTACTAGTGTGTTTTCTGTCATTATGTACTTACAATAAATATTTTGATGGATCAGGGACGGACTCATTAATCATTGTTAAAATATTGCCAATTCTGTGCTGCAATAGGTGTGACTTTTCACTTGTTGGGGTTTAGAGGGGAGTTTTTAAACTGGGGGGGGGGGGGGTGAAGTGCTGATGCCTTGTGGTGTAGCTTGACAGTCTCATGAGGGCAATGTAGATATTTAGCACACTGAGGATGTATTATTGCCGTATGAGAGATGTTTAGAGTGCAAACCTAGCCAGTACAATAATGGTAAATAATAAGAATATAATCATTTACATTTATTCATTAGGCAGCTGTTTTTATTCAAAGTGATTTACAACAAGGGATTCGAAACCCAGGTGAGAATTGGCCCATTGAACAAGCAAAGGAACTAATAACAATAATAACAACTAATTTTGTATTTTGCCATATCAGTATTCATTCACCTTATTGGGAGACATCAACTCAAATAATTTCCAAACATTTGAGGATTTCCTCTTGCCATTTCCAGGGCCACTTCCCATAATGGGGCAAAAAGTGTATGTAATACAAACCGTATAGCCGTCAATCTCTTCAACCTCAAAAGAATCCCACGACGCCCAAAGGTTTCATGTCTTTACAAAAGTTTCGAAGAGCTGCCAGGATTCGATTCCTCTCACACCTCTGGACAAACCGGATGTCATCGTCACTTGACATTGCATAAACGAAGCAAGCATTAATGTTTACAAGAGAAGTGCTACCTAACTGGCCAGCGAATGCAAAAACACATTAATATTCTGATCCTCGGACACGTCCTCTTTTTCACCTCAGCAAATATGGTAAACCTAACAATGATTATCTCATAGATATATTTAAGTGATGGGACTTAGACCTCATCTCATCAAAGTGAAGCCCAGCTCATGTTCACTCCCCAATTAGGTAGCGCTTCTCTTGTGAATATTAATGAGTTTCCTTATCCACCCTCTAAAACGAAAATTTGCGTCCGGGTAAACCCGGACGTATGGTAACCTTACAATTAACTGTCGTTTTACAATCTACATACAATTGACACGATATATGTGTATACAAGTATTTTTCAATGAAAGCTAAAGTTTTTTAAACTTCAAGCAAACAATACAATACAAAATAATGCATCAAAATTCCAATGGTTCCTGGGAGTTGATGTCACTTGTGAGCAGCGTGACATGTAGGGATGTGTATATTATTTATTTTTTAAAGTTAATGTGTGCACAAGTCTCGCAAAAGCTGTGTGATGATACTGAGAGGCTGCTGTATATTGAAAATTGGTGCCTTTTCCCTCACTTGGTACTTTAATTTGCCACATATGGGAGTCATATGGGATGCAGCACTAACCCCGGACAAATCGCCGATTTGTGAAAAAGTTTTACTATAAGTGTATATAATGCAATGAATTTCTTACTTCTTTGCTTTTTTTGACTATAATCTTTTTACAAACCTTTGAAGAATGAGAATTACAGAAGAGGAATACTGCCTGTGTTTTCTTCTCACAGTGAATTCCGGGACTTTAAAAGATAAGAAGAACTTTATTTATCCGAGGGAAATTCTTTTGTTTTAAACATGCTCAGTGCAACAAGAGGAATAAAGATGAGACAGTAAAGAGCTTAAAAAGAATAGTAGCAATAGTGCGAAAACAGAATAAAATAAATCTAACAAAGTAACAAATAACTATAACAGATATAATAAAATAACAGATTTTTAGTGCAAGTGGTTATGAAAAGTGACTTAGTGTCTGTGCCATGGATGAAATGAGATCGGAGCTTGTGATGAGGGGATGTAAACATTCAATAGCATACCGGTAAGTAAATAAAAAGCAGGTAAGTAATATTGTACAATCTGAATGAGAACCTAATGACATAAATGTTGAAACAGGTGAAAAAGATTAAGTTATACACTCGTATTGCCACAGGTAGAAAGGATTTGCATTTGCAGGCAATGAGTCTTTTGCTCTGTGTGCTCTGATGACCCATCATGGAGGTGTGCATGGGGTGAGGGGGGTCATCCATGATACTGAGAAGCTTTTTCAGCATTCTCCTCTCAGACACCTCCGCCAGCTTCTCCAGTCCGACACCCAGGACAGAACCAGCCTTTTTAATCAGCTTGTTCAGCCTGTTGGCATCAGCTGTCTTCACTGCACTGCCCCAGCACACAGCTGCAGAAAACACCACACTCTCTACTACAGAGTGATAGAACTTAGTCAGCATTTCACTACAGACATTGAAAGACCTGAGCCTCCTCAGTAAATAAAGCCGGCTCTGCCCCTTCTTGAAAGCAGTGTCAGTGTTCTTGGACCAGTCCAGTTTACTGTCAATGTGCACCCCCAGGTACCTGTAGTCCTCAACCACCTCAACATCCGTTCCTCTGATGGTTACAGGGGTGGGGGGAGATCCTGCCTCCTAAAGTCTGCAGCCAGTTCCTTTGTCTTTGTGATGTTAAGCTGTAAATGGTTCCGCTCACACCACTCAACAAAGCTGTCCACCACACTCCTGTATTCATCCTCCTGTCCATCCCTGACACAGGCCACAATGGCAGAGTCATCAGAGAATTTCTACAGGTGACATGACTGAGACCTGTACCTGAAATCAGACGTGTAGAGGGTGAAGAGGAAGGGTGATAGGACAGTTCCCTGTGGTGCTCAGGATGCTATCAGAGCGGCAGCTCTTCAGCCGGACATGCTGTGGTTGATTGGTTATATAGTCTGTAATTCAAGCTGCAGACTCATGTTTAAGATCAGGTGTAAAACTCCGCACAGCTGGCCAGCACAGCACCTGTGGGCCCTGGGACTGACACCATCAGGACACGCAGCTTTACTGGGATGGAGTCTACACAGTTCCCTTCTGAAGTCATCTGCTGAGAGGGACAGAGAGAGACAGGCTGTGGGAGCCGGAGAGGGGGGAGGGGAATGGAAAGGGTGAGAAGAGCTGAGTGTGGGGGGAGGAGACGTAGGGCAATCAAACCTATTAAAGTGCAGATTTAGGTTGTTTGCATATTCCACGTCTCCCAACACCTCTCTTTTGTTTGGCCCTCATTCCACATCACCCTGAAGTTGTTTTCTTTGCTTTCCAGCTTCCTCCTGTAGCAGTCTTAGATTTCTGCTCCCTCTGCACCAGTCTCAACATCTCTCTGTCACCGTTTCTGAAAGCTCTCTTCTTTTTGAGTGACGGTGAAAACATTGTTGGCTCTTGTAGTGCTTTTTTTTTAAACAAACAAACCCTACATTTTTTAAGCCAATTCCATTGGCCATTTATCATCATCTGTGATGTCACATTAGGAATTTAGGAGTGGCTTTTGACTCATACCTCATATTTGAGACAATTCAAAAGGATAGCCAGTAGCAGCAAGCACAGGACCACTAATGTCTAGGTATTAATCAGCTCTGGACTCCAGGAAAAACAAGGACAAGTAAAATACTCTATTCCTCACTCGTCTATTCATTAAATTAACCGTTTTAGCTGCTTCTGGTTGCTTTTGCTGTGGTCTTGACCACATTCTACTGCTTTTCCTTCTTTCATGGTTGTTATGATTTTTATCTGTAATGAATTTGATGTCTCCTCTCTCTTTCCTCTTCCCCAGATGTGCACATCTGTCTTTTAAATAAAGAATCTAGTAATTCGCAGGCCAACAACAAGGCCAACATCTGTTCCCTGGTCTAGCCTGAACACAAATGGAAATCCACTGGAGACCGATACAGTAATGGACCTGGATATGTGCTACTGGGTAAACTGGGGAGTAAAACCGAAGACCTGCTCTACTCCTGCAGCACCACACCATGAGCTCTGGACAGATACTGTGTAACGAAAAAGAAAACCCAGAAGCAACAAGCACAAGACTACTCATGTCTCACCAAAAGACGGACTGGAGAACAGGTACATCGTTCTGGACGAGCTGCCTGTAAATGAGCTCAGTGTTAATGCTATAGCTGGCAACTCAGCTAACGCTGAGCAGTGGCTCATGATACGGCTGAGCCTGTGCGGAGCGTCTCTCTGCGGCACGCAGGAGTAAACAACAGACCAAAGGCCACTAAAACTAATGTCACATCAAAAAGGACAGGACCAGAACAGAACTGTGCACCAGACAATCGAAAAAGCAGCTAATTAAGTCAGTGAGACATCAAACCACAGACTCTGCTAGTAGGTGACCACTGTTGGAGTATGCCATCTCCACCGGGTTAATAAGAGATTCACAGCTGACACGTGGAGAAGTTTTACGATTGTAGCCTGTGGGTTATGGGGCTGGTGGTGACAGCAATTTTTTCCTATCCTGTGGTTCCCTCCCTCTTTTTGCTTGGGCGCAGTTACGCAGTCCTGCTCTGCCGCTGTTGCTAATTGGGGATTAGGACGGGCATTGATTGGGCCACCTATATATTCCTTAGTTGGGTAAACCAGGGCACGTGGGGTCCTCCTGGCAGCAGGGTAGCTGATGCAGTTTGTGGTGTAGCAGCATTTGGGCTGTCTCTGCTTTCAGGTACGTCCCGAGTTTCCCTTAATCTGCGCTAACTGACAAGTAGTGGACTAAGTATGTGTTGTTAATCCTGTATGTCAGGATATTATCATTGACCTGTTTGTATTTTTACTGGGTCCATGTTGTAGAACATTGCATTGCAGTTCTGGGTAACCCGTGGCACGTACAGTATTGTTTGCCTAGGCTGTTTTAAACTGTCTACATTTACCCAATTGGTGGTTAAGTACTGCTTTATTCCGTGTACCGGTTTATATGCTTTTTGATAATTAGCATTTATTTGGCTAAATGTGTACATGTTTATTGTCGCTGGTAGGTTTGTTAAACTAGTATTAAGTGTTGGTATTTGCTAGCTGCTTTTTAGCCATGTAGTGAGGGGTTTTTACTGGCGTAATATTTCACTGAATACAAGCATTTATTTGTGTGTTTTGATTTACAGGTTTATATGGCTGTGCTGCGTTGCTAGTTGCTGTTTTCTGTACAGTGTGAATGTGGTGCTGCTCAGTTTATTCATATATGTATTTTGTTTTCCTCTAGCCTGTGCGCGATAGCGTAAGTGTGGTAGACACTATGTGAGATTGCTCTGTATGCCACAGGCTAGAGTGGGTTTTATTTTTATATTTTCCTTTATCCTTGTTAACTCCTTAGCCCCCTTCTTGTACCTTTAATTAACCGGGGCGTTGGGTGTACAAGGTAGCTTAATGTGTTTAAGGGAGGTCACCCTGGAAAGCTGTGTTTTCTAGCCTTTTTGTGTTAACGTTTGCAGTGCCACACGGTGTGAAGCTCTGTTGTCCTTACCACTTAAGGTGCCTGAGTATGGTGAGGATTGCAGGGTATTTGATTGCAGTGTATACTAGGATAAGTGTGTTTGCACAGTCGCGTGTGGCCTAGAATTCCCAGCCTCCCTCCAGGGTGTCTGTCCTCCCTGGGTTCAGCAGGCCTCTGCCCCAATGTCTTGGTGATTTTTGTTTGCTTCTTGCCTTTCCCTTTCATTAAGGTAGGGACCAATTTGACTGGCGATTAATCCAGCCACATGAGTATGTATTAATAAAGACTATTTTATATTTTCTTGTAAAATCTGTGTTTGTATTTATTTAAGCATTGGTCCCCTTGCTCTGGCACTGTTAGTCAGTGAACTGCAAGGGGTGCCACACAAACAACAAGCCTATATTCAAAGTTGTGTCCCTCCTGAACAGGGCACGCCCCACGAGCTCAATCCCAGCCAAACAGGCTCCTCCCAACTGAGACAACCCTGGTGGGAGTCAGCTTATCGGCTGCACTGCCGGTCTGACTCGACCAGGGCCGGCACAATAGCCTTCAGGGGTCACCCACCCTAGTGAGAGTCCAAGCCAGGGCCGTTCTCAGAACTGACCCCGGGCGAGGTCCTCCTCAAATGTTGTAATGACTGCCTGAGGTACCCGCCGGCCCTGCCCTTAATGAGTCAGTGGGTGCGACCGGGCTGGTGTGCTTTTCGGTGTTCAATTGCTGAGAACTCCCCTTCGGTTCTGACAAACTGTAAGACCACGAGCAGCGACAGCCGAGCCACAGGCTAGTTCGACCAACAGAGAGCGAGCGGCGAGCACCCTGAACAGGAAGAACCCACAACCTTGCTCACACACAAATCAGCACAACGACACACAAATAGCTTTGAGACTCCTCGTCTCGAGACTCCAACCTGGTACTTTTGGGTTTCTAACCCAGGGACTCCAACCCGGTACTTTTGGGTTTCTAACCCAGGGACTCCAACCCATTTTAGAGAAGGGGACCTTATTCCCTTCGCCAATTTAGAGTTCGGGGGTCCTGAATTCCCCGGGCCTCTAACCCAGCTTTTCTACCGCTCGTCAGCAAGTAGTGGGGTTGCCACACCAAGGACAATGTGGGGGTCGCGTACCATCTGCTCCTTAAGGTCCTACTTCACTGCGGGGGTCCCGTACCCTCCGCTCCTTAAAGTTCTACTTCCCTGCACACGATGCCTGCACACAACACCTAGACACAGTACATATACAACATACTGTATGAACACGGTACATGCAACCTCTCCTTCAACCTCTTTTTAAATGAACCCCCCCCCCTTTCATCATGCCCTGCTTTAAGCTATATTCTCCTTTTCCGCTATTCATTGTATGTTCTTTATAATTCTATTGAATCCCACACCACATAAGAGATGCTAAAAGCAAATTTTTGAAAAGTGCTAACTTGACCTATGACCTCTAGCACCCTACTGCTGGAATATGAAGAAAGTTCAAATCTTCTCCCTAAGACAGCAAGGATAATGACATTGCCTTGGATTACTCTCAGGGATATCTCACACAAGCTAAGGATGCAGATAAATGAGTTGTTACTGGATGGCAGCAAAAGTTCCTGCTTATCCAACCAAAGGAAACGCAGACTGTCACACAGAATGCTGTGGGCGTTACAGATAAACATGTTGACATCTAGGACAAACTGGGCCCTTACCCAACCGCTCTCTCTCCACATACTGGGTTTGGATCCACTGCTGTCCCCACAGCCCACACTAGGCAGCAAGGAGTAGCTCAAATGTTTGCCATTCCTGTTTTGACTAACTTCAGGGTGAACACAGTGTACTCAAAGTGCACAGCTATCCTGCCCTAATACATTAAACTAGGCTTTATTTAATATCAGATCCTTTGCCACTGTACAGAATTCCAAACATCAGGGAGGACTAGAAGCTCCAAATTTCCATTATTACTTTCTTGTAAATCAATTACAGTATCTCCTTAAATGGACACAGAATCAAAATTTCCACCCTTGGTTAGTATTAGAACGAAATTTAAGAACCCCCCTCTCGATTGCAGATTTTCTATTTCTATCACAAACGGCAGTAAAACTGGACTCTTTTAAATATATTACTATTCGAACCACTCTGACAGCCTGGTGGAAAACCAATAAAATAACTAAATCCACCCTGACACCTTGTAAACTCACCCCCATATGACACAAGCCTGACTTCCTACTACATAAGACCCCAATTCACTTTTCCAAATGGGAATCTAAAGGTATCACTCACCTCCATCACTTATTTGAAAATAACCAATTCCTACCTTTTCATACAATTGTCCAGAAATATGGGATTGGAAAAGACCAGTTCCTTCATTACCAACAACTGAAAACAATAATTAATAGCAAAATTAATAAAAACAATATACTCCAGCCCACAAATACTATTGAATAGTTATTAAGAATCGCAGCTCATCCAAAAAAAAAAACTAATTTCTAAACTCTACAAAATGATTGCCTCCTCAACCTCATCCATAACACTCCCGATAGCAAAATGGGAAAATGACCTGGCGCTCCATACAACCCCAGATTTCTGGACAAATATCTGCAAAAATATATTTTCCATGACCTCTAATACTAACCTGCAACTTATACAATATAAAACTGTACATAGGACTCACATCACTCAAAGTAAACTGTTTAAAATGGGATTAGTCAACACAGACCTCTGTCTACACTGTACCTCGGTGAGCACTGACTCATATTTGCATGCTACTTGGACTTGTCAGCCAATCAATCATTTATGGACTTCGGTCATAAAGACACTTTCTACCATCTTGGACTGTAGCACCCCACTCTCCCCCTCTCTTTGCCTTCTAGGAGACACCACTTCTATCTGCATTCCACAGAAAATGAAACACCCAGTACTTGTCTCTCTAACTATAGCTAAGAAAAAAGTCTTTCAAAACTGGAAATCTAGAAATTCATGTCATATAAAGCATTGGATCAACCTAATGTCAGAACACATCCTTATAGAAGAACTTTCAGCTCAAAAGAAGAATAATACATCAGTCTTCCAAGACTTTGACATCTGGAATCCATTCACAACTTTTCTTCAACTCAATAATAACTTAACCACTTATATTCCTCATAACTACTATTCTCAACTTATGCCTGGTCATTATCCTAGCTCATATATCTTATATCTCTTTCCCCCTCTCTCTCTCCCTTCTTCTCTTTCTCTCTCTTTCTCCCTCCTCCCCAACAGTAACCAGTCTT